GAGGTTTACCAGTGAATACGAATGCTATGGTCAAAGTCACGAACCCGTACGAAGCATTTGAAAATAGAAACGATGCGACAAATGTGATGGCAAAAGATGAAAGGCCAAAAGTGGTGAGAACTGCAATCAGAGGCTCGAGCTCGCTGGCTGTCGACCAATATTTTTGTTGGAATGACATCACCGTTACATAAAATACTGCCGAGGTTAAAATGTATGTTGCGAAGTCGAATAGGATTGATATCACCCAGAATGTTGATGCATCGACGCCACTTATGAATTGAAGTAACTTCGCTTTTGAGGCTCTTTCTCGAATGTAAAACATAATGTATAATGATGTAGTAAAGGCCATTGCGAATGAAATATATTGAGCCAGTTGACCTCCCATATCCTTTCCGTTCATTGTTAAAACCACCACTGATTCCGGTCTAAATGGAATGGGATTGTTCGACACTTGAATACTGTAACCATCGCCGAGATTGCTCCGCAAGAGTGCATTATGGAGTAGGTTGAGCGAAAGTGGCGCCGTATGAAACAATTGATTGTTGAACCAAGCAATGAATGAGTGGTTGTGATAAGACAAGCCAACCAAATGTCTGGTGTTTGTTCGAACTTTTATTTCATCTCCAAGTTTCAAGAAATGATGCTGAATATCCTCATAGAATTCGTCCAAAGTATGGCTTGCATTCTCCCGCAGTCTCTGGCGATATTGTGCAAATGTACTGAAAATGAATTCATTAGTAAAAATTATTCATATTTTTATCGTTAAATTGTCTTAATTTACCTATTGATTAAAGGATCGATTCGGTTCCCTTGTGGTGTTTGCACCATTGTCTCTGTTCTTTCGTAACGATTTAAAGATATATTCAGTTCTGGAAGATTATTGAAATCCTGTGCAACGTGAACGAACAAAACACTGATCGTCGTGAAAAATACCAGAGCGAATACTTGTACCAAAAATAGGATCGACGTATTTGTCCAGCAGTAGAACCGCTTTTTGAACATTGCATGCCATTGATTCATACGAAGTCTGAAGCCATTGAGTAGTTCATTTTTCGACGCTTCAATGTCAAATGAAACGTGATTGGAAATTTGACTTGGTTTCCGGTTATCACTTCCAACCTTAAGGAACACTTCTTCCAGTTCCGTTGTTGATACGCCGAAACGTTGAAGATGAAGGGACTCGAGTTTATTTTCCAATCGTTCAAACATTCTCGCAAACTTTTCCGACTGTTCATATGGCAAACCGTATGATATCTCTGCTGTATCCTCCTCCAATAGTTTAACCTCCGGAATGAATTCACGTAGAACTCTAGTAACTTCGCTCGAAACACAGTCTTCTTGCTTAGCGCAAATCAAGCGATAACCATCACCAAAGCGTTTCTTCAAGAAAAATGGAGTTCCACAACACTTCACCTCACCATCGGCCATTATTGCAATACGATCGGCGAGCACATCGGCTTCGTCCATGAAATGCGTCGTCAAAATGATCGTTCGACCCTTCTTCTCCGCTTGCAATAAATCCCACAGCTCTCTCCTCGCCGCCGGATCGACGCCACTGGTCGGCTCATCACACAAAACCACCTTGGAATCGGCACACAAAGCGATGATGAATGATAGCTTCCTTTGCATTCCTCCCGACAAAGCATGAGATGGAGTGTCAATCTTTGACTCTAAATTCAATATTCGTACATATTTCATGAGCTCCTTGTCAACGGCGCTCCATTTTAATCCTTTCAGTCGACAATAGAATTGGATGTGTTCGCGAACAGTTAGTTCGTCGAATAGAATATCGTGTTGTGGACAGATACCGATCGACTTCCTTGCATTGTTGAGATCAGTTCGAATGTCATATTCATCTATGATCGCCGTGCCTGATGTCGGTGGAATCATTCCAGTTAACATTTGGATGGTCGTGGTCTTGCCAGCGCCATTGTGACCGAGCAGCACAGTTATTTGATCACAGAACATATTGAATGTTACACCTTTGCAGGCCACTTTTCCGTTATCGAAAACTTTTCGAAGGTTCTTCACTTCAACACCGGCCACACATTCAGTGGGCTCAGGTTCGAAATTTTCGTGTATTGTCTGTTCTTCATGATTGTCAGAGAGGTCTTCCAACATTAAATCTCCTTCTCCCTCAAACCAAAATTCCTTTTTGAATGCAAAATTCCAATCTTCAGGCACGCCATATTCGCCAGGGAATACCTTTTCAACATAGAGCGCTATCAAGAGAAACACAGCTGATGTTACTAGCATGCAAAAAATGGTAGTTCCAATTGCAAAATTATTCTCAATTATTGGATGGTGCAAAAAGTTTGACCATTGCAATCCTTCACCGGTGCGCTCAAACTCTATGATTGTTCTACATCCATAACCCATAGCCACATTTGGCGAGATACAAGCAAGCCATTGTACTATTGGTGCTACTTTCACGTGATTTATCGTCAGAAAAATGTACGGCATATGTGAAACAAACCATACGAGCCCCGATACAGCTGCGGCAGTATTTGTTTTGGAGAATAGAACGCTGAACATGAAGCAATAAGTTGTCATCGCTATGGAGTAGACAAGCAAAAACACCCAAATTACAAACCAATTTGAGTTTGTGAACACAGCAATCGACGATTCAAACATGTGTATCTGAAATTAACAAATCAAACATCTCTTTATTTCCAAATATTTTGAATTTTTATCACTTTTTGAAAATAAAAATCGAAATTACCTTCAGTAAACCGATCATCAATGTGATTGAAACGATCATAAAAATCATGGTGCGCAAAAACCAACTGGTCCAATGCAACCAAACGGGCATTCCCATGATTTTCATCACCTCTTTCAACTGTTTTTCCCTCTCAATGGCAATGAATCTCACAGTGCTAATTATGGGATATACGAAACTTAGCATGATGAATACGCCAACAGCACCTTTCAAGCCGTCCAAAAGCTTATCCTCTAAATAAGGTGGGTATGGGTATCGTTGCATTTGAATTCTTGGTAGATCATGGAGATCACATGCTCTTTTTTGAATGCAATTGAGTGTTATGTAGGACCAAGCGATCGCATTTTGAATGGCCAAGAAACCATCTGAATAGTAGACTCCTTCATTCAATGTCTTCACACGCGGTCCACCGCCTGACAATAGTGGGTACAATAAGTTCGTTTGCCAACTGAAAGCTGATTTTTCTTTGGTTTTAGTACGTATTTCACTTGGAAAGCGCAAATAATAAACTAGATTTTTTGGCAGCTCCGTAATTTTCTGTGAATTACGGAAATATAAATTCGATTAAATTCAATTACGTTCTAACCAATAAATGTACAACAAAAAGATATTTCAACATATATTACCGCTGAGTGATTGAACACGACACCAGCTATAAAATTTCGTTCTATCATCAATCTCTCAACTTCCTCTGAACTATTCACACCATATATAACGGTAAAATTGAATTGTGGGCTTGTTGATCGAAGTAAATCCTCGAACATCTGATTTTTTGGTGAATAAACTACGCCCAATTCTCTTATGTGAATATCACGGCTCGCATTTGTATCACTAAAAACCAACCAAAACACAAAATTTAGTTAATTAATTTTTTCATAACTAACAGTATAGCAACTTTTTACAATAAATAGACAGAGTCGCACTTTGTTTCACTATGTTAATTATCAATTTGATATCAAACGATCGTCGCGTAACTCTCACAATATATGCAATGTCATTCGGGTTAAATTCTGCTAAAACTGAACGAATGATTGAATTTATATTTGCATATGACATTATGAGTATCGATGTGCTTGTTGGGAATAAGAAACGACTACGACGCCCATTTGTCGTATCAAATTATCAATTGAAAAGAAACAAATTCGAGCTTCTCGACAAATATTTTTTCATTCAGAAATACTCACAATGCTCGCAGATGGCTGACACTGAAAGGTTGAAACGTGGTGTTTTGTGCGTTAACTTCAGGCTCAATTAAACGTCGAACGAAAACTAAAATCGCCATGAACAAAATCGGAATCAGAATCTGGATAATTGTTTGTATTTTGTGACGATATTGAAGTAAAAAATTCTTCCACATTAAAAGTCGAAATTTATCAAAACTGCTGGCGATTTTTCGATCACTATCTTTGATGCGAACAACACAAGGTGAATCAAAACTGTCATCTAATGGCTGAAAGTTCACATCATGTAGTGTGTGAGTATCGTCATCTTTACCGTTACCTATATTTATGTAAAAGAAACGATGTAAATTTTCATAAAAAAGTAGAAAAAGTCTCTGAATATTACCGGAGAAAATTTTCCGTATCCAATAATGAACCCGGTCACGAAATTTCATGTTGTTTTTTTTTCATAAATGTGAGCAAAAAATGAACTGAAACTTGAAATATTAGCACTTTTACTTGAAATTATGGCGAATTGTGATTAAATGTTCATTGTTCACACGCGAATGAATTGAAGAGACCGCTAACTTCGAACGTCAATTCCAAACTGCACCGTACAACCACACACAGTATGTAAATTACCAAAGCTATTTTAGAAAATTGTGTTGATTTATATTCGTTTCGACGAAACGATTGTGTCATATTTTTGCTTATCGCATTACATTTCCTGCACGACACAGCATTTGCTCGTCAGAAATTTATGAACCTGATAATTCCCGTATGGTGTGAGTACTGACATTGCAATTAGTCGGAACAGTATATGAAACAAATATGAACGTGTCCGCGCGACGGTCACTACGCTTACGCCAGATTTTTAAAAGAAAAAGTAAGAAACAACATCTCTTATTTGTAAATGTTTTCATCTAATTTAACTTCGTAGAAACGTGATTTACCTACATATTTTAGATGCTAAAAATGAACCAGACATTGTGATAATCATGCATAATCTCGAGTAGGTCAGTGAGCAGTAAATATCATGCATAATCTAAGTGAGTCATTGGAAGTTTGAACTCATCCGGCAGAAAGTGTTTGTATGTACGGTCAAATATAATCATTATGGATATTCTGAAGTAACTTGGTTTTATTTTTCAGCTTAAAAATATACAAAAATTGTTTTTTTTTTGTTTTTGTCACGTGACATGTGATGTGTTTTAATGGAAAAACCCTCTTTATCAAAACACTTTTTTCATTATCAATTTACACGATTATCATGTGTATAGTTGTTTGAACTTTGGAGGAATTTTTTTTGCTCGTTAAACGATCATAACTATCAGTCAAAGTGGTTCCGTACGGCAAACCGTAAATTCTCCAGTATACAAAAAAATTCTATACTTATAAAATAGTTTTCGAAATAATTTTGCCTCAATTTAGATTGCTTTAAATAATTTTGAAATGTTTTATACGTTGAAAAACATAACAAACACTTACACTCCGCAATAAAATGGAGAATCTGTCACCTTGACATGTGGTAATATAGCGGTTTACCCGATGTAGAGGGGAATTTAACCTCAAACTGGATGAATCTCTACACGTGCCATGGTCTTTTTATGTGATTAAAAATAATAAGTTGAACGATATTACAAACATGAACTAAGCAAAAAAGAATAATCAAATACTTTTTTTCTAGTTATTATTTATGAGGTGATCAGTGGCCAGTGTTGAAGGCGGTAATGAATTGATATCTAAATATTATGAAATTTGATGCATTTTGGCAAATGCGGGTGCGATGAATCACTGCAGATGAATAATCATGCATGAGAACATACTTAAGCCTCGAATGTTAGATTCGTTCTATTCATTCAACAACATTCTAATTCAAAATGCTTATTTTGAAAAGTGAAACAAATGTACAGTTTAATAGTAATTTTTAACCAACACTCGCTTTCACTAAGCAATAACAACCAATTTTTAATGAATGAATAAATAAATAAATAAGACTAGGAAGATTTTTTTTCGATGTCGTTTGGATGGATTCAGAATGGTTTCGATTTCAAAGTGTTAAACCACAGAGTTAAAACTATTAAGTGTTTGATCATCATAGGTTTTTGTAAATGATAAGAACACTTGTTCGAGCGTTGTTTGACTGATTGTATAATCTTCGATGCTTAGAATTCCTTTTGCTGTTTCCATCAGATCAAACATTGAAGACCATTTCAATTCATTGGTCTGCGGCACATAAAACGTTAAAAGGCCTTGATACTTTTCCCTGTAAAAATAGAACGTTATCAATATGTGTCCGCCCATGCTGCGCAGCAAATTCAAAATTCAAATTTACTTACTTAAGATAAGCTCCCGGGAAGTTTGTATGAATGAAATTGCTAATTTGAATTTGAGTTTGCGGATATCCCTGAGTTGGCGTTTCATTTCCGCCGGATCGTATTTTGATTGTCAGTAGAAATCCCTTGGAGAATTGGTTTTTGAGATGTTGTACAGAACCCAAACATTTGAATTGTCCGTTCACCATGATTGCTAAGCGAGTGCATATTGCTTCACACTCCTCCATACTGTGCGATGTCAATACGATTGATGTTCCTGAACATCGAACCTGTGATAGGACATTCCATAAATTCCTTTTCGCGCCTGGATCCATGCCTGAGCTCGGCTCATCTATAAATGAAATCATTGACAATTCAATATAGTTCAGAACGATTTGAAATTGTACCTAAATTGTATCGTTTTTACCTAAATAAACAACATCGGGATGGGACATTATAGCGATAGCCGTACTCAATTTCCTTTTGCTACCACCCGAGTAGCTTTTGATCACCTTATCAATGTGTTTGGTGAAATTCAAATTACTGGCCAATCGAGCACTCATCGCTGAGATATCTTTACGACGATAGCCACGCAATAACCCAAAGATTTCCAATGTTTGAGATCCTGTCAAATTGTCAAGTAGCGCATCGAATTGCGGACAGTATCCGATCATTTTATGCACTTCAGCTAAATGAGTTTTAAGGCTGAGCCCATTCACAAACACGTCGCCACTTGAAACCGGTGTATCACCTGTTATCATTTTGAAAGTTGAGGTCTTACCAGCTCCATTGATGCCGAGTAAACCAAAACATTCCGATCTGTATTGATAAAATATAATGGAGTTTTTTTTTAAATCAATTTCGTAGTCAATGGAAATATCATTTTGTTAATCAGAATGCAGTGTGATCTTTTCGTTGGGGAAACATTTAACAAACCTTTTAACTGCTACGGAAATTCCATTCACAGCCAAAAAATTTCCATAGATTTTTTTCAGATTTCGCAAGACCAAACTATTGACCTGTAAATCTTTTGAAGTCATGGCATTGACTTTGTTTTTCTCCTCCCTAACATCGGTGTCAAACACAGTGCTTTCAACTGCTGCTGTTAACTTTTTCTTAGGAATGCCACGAATGAAATAACTAACTTTTGAAAATATTCGATATTCAATAATCCAAAGTATTACGATGAAAACTATGGCAATTGAACCCATATATGTCAGGCTCCGGCCAATGCCAGGCTCGTTCCAGGCATATATGTCGATATCTGAATGATAATAAAAAAAATTAAATTAGAGTCTTTTGAAAAAGCAATAAAACCAGTTTCAAACCGGTTCATAATTTCGAGTGTACTCATGGGGATGTACTGTGTACTCACCACACATCTGCTTTGGATCACAGCTCAGCTTGACCGTTTCATTCCATTTGATATGTAAATTCAAGTTTGTACCGTTGACTATGGGATCTATTTGATACAAATTGATGTACTTTATAATATCCTGAAAGATAGTGTCTGCGTGCATCAGATCAGCATACTTTTTTAACAATAAATAAATGGAAATGGCGTAGTCTATTAAATGATCTTTATCCTGAGGTATGGGTATAGATAAATCGAATCCAATTTCAAAATTGATTGTAGTATTTTGCATGCGTTCACACTGTATGTGACAAACTTCGGTTGCGATTTTAATTTGGTTCATATTTAACAAGCTCGACGCAAGTGCATAGTGTGGAAACGAAAGGAAGATCCATTTCAACATATTGGCTGTCGTGGATAGACCCAAATCTGGCATTGACAGAATTTTTATTAAGTTAAAGAAACTAATCCCTGTGAAACAAATTGAAAAAGATTAGAATAAATCATTTTAGATGGATTCTCATGTAAGACTCACCAGTAAATATGAATGTAATGACCATACTGACGAAACCATACGATGCAGTCGAGAATAAAAATGATGCAACGAAAGTGATGGCCAGCGTTGCCAATCCGAAAACGATGAAAAGCACAAGTAATGGTGTTAGTTCGCCGATAGTGGACCATCCGCTCTCTTGAAAAGCCATAACGGCAAGAAAAGTAATCACAGACGATAGGACATGTGTCATATAATCGAACAAGAATGATGTCATCCAAAATGTGGACGTATCCACGCCACTTATTAATTGCAATAGCTTCGCTTTTGAAGCTCTTTCTCGAATGTAGAACATGATATACAGAGCTGAGGCAAAAGCCATTACAAACGAAAGATTTGTAGCGAGTTGACTGCCTATATCGTCGCCGTACGCTGTTAAGAGCGCCTTCGATTCAGGTCGAAATGGTATTGGCCAATTTGACACTTGAATGCTGTGATCTTCTCCAATTGCGGCCCGTAACATTGCGTTGTGGAGCAAATTGAGTGACAGTGGTGACGTGTGAATGGGTTGGCCATTGAACCAAACAATAAATGAATTATTTTCGAAAGACAAACCAAGTAAATTTCGAGTGTTTGTTCGCACGCGTATCTGATTGCCAAGTCGCAAGAAATGATCTTCCATATTCTCGGAAAATTCATCCAAAACATCGATTTTGCGGAAACCTTTGCGATATTGGACGAAAATGCTGAAATTAAAGAAAAAAAAGGTTTAAACTAGTCAAAGGAAACAAAATTATCAATCCAATTTTACCGTTGAATGAATGAATCGTTTGATTTTGGTGTTTGCAACATGGTCACCGTATCTCCATAATGATTTAGTGACACCTCAAGTAGAGGCAGTTTCATGAAATCCTTCGCCATACGAACACAAGCGATGCTCATCACAACGAATAGAACAATCATTACATTTTGTACAAGAAATATAAACCAACTGTTTTTCCAACAATAATATCTTTTCTTGAACATTGCGTACCACTGATTCACACGCAATAGCAAACCACGAAGCAGTTCGTATTTTAAAGACTCTGCGTCTGTCGTTGGATCGGAAATTGTATCGTTTTCACCATTATTGCTATGGCTATCACTTCCAACTTTGAGGAACACTTCTTCTAATTCCGTTGATGATACGCCGAAACGTTGCAGTTTCAATGAGTCGAGATCACTTTCTAATCGCTCAAACATCTTTCCAAACTTATCTACATGTTGATATGGCAGTGAATATGATAATTCTCCCGCTATTTCTTCTGTGACATCGATGTCAGGAATATATTCCTGTAGCACTTTTGTCACTTCACTTGAAACGCAGTCTTCTTTCTTAACGCAAATCAAACGATAACCATCACCAAAGCGTTTCTTCAAGAAAAATGGAGTTCCACAACACTTCACCTCACCATCGGCCATTATTGCAATACGATCGCCAAGCACATCGGCTTCGTCCATAAAATGTGTCGTTAAAATGATCGTTCGACCGATTTTTTCGCTTTGAATTAAATCCCAAAGATCGCGCCGAGCAGCCGGGTCCATACCACTAGTCGGTTCATCACACAAAACTACCTTTGAATCACCACACAAAGCAATGCCAAATGCGAGTTTTCTTTTCATGCCACCCGATAATAATTTTGACATCGAGTCAATTTTTGATTCTAGGTTCAGCAATTGAACATATTTTTTCACTTCTTTTTCAACGGCAGTCTTTCTCAAACCTTTCAATCGGCTATAAAATTCAATGTGCTCACGAACGGTGAGTTCGTCGAAAAGAATATTATGTTGTGGACATATGCCAATTGATTCCCTTGCCTTGAGCAAATCAGTACGAATATCGTATCCATTTATGATCGCCGTGCCTGATGTCGGTGGAATCATTCCAGTTAACATTTTCAATGTCGTGCTCTTGCCAGCACCATTGTGACCGAGCAGCACGGTTATTTGATCACAGAACATATTGAATGTTACACCATTGCAGGCCACTTTTCCGTTGTCAAACATTTTCCGAAGGTTTTTCACTCGAACACCCGCTACACAGTTCAAAGGTTCTGCTTCGAAATTTTCATGTGACACAAGATTTGAGCACTCTTTCATTTTTATTTGATCATTTTTTTTAAACCAAAATTTTTTCTTCAAGAAAAAAATCCACTTTTCTGGTACACCATATTCACCCGGAAACACTTTTTCGATATAGAGTGTAATCAAAAGGAATAAAGCTGCGGTTTGCAACAAACAATAAATAATAATTCCCAGCGTAAGTTCACATTGATTTCCATTTGAATTCCAAAAATTGGACCACTGTAATCCTGTACCACTTCTTTCAAAATCGACTATTATTCTGCATCCGTATGCCATGGCCACATTTGGCGAGAGGCATGCAAATATTTCCGCAATCAATGGCAATTCCAGGTGATTGATTGAAAGAAACACATATGGCATATATGAAATGAACCACACGAGACCGGCCACAGCGGCCGAAGTGTTTGCCCTTGAAAATAGTACGCTCAAAACAAAGCAGTACGTCGACATTGTGATGCTGTACACAAATAGGAATACCCAAATCGCACTCCAATCGGAATTTGTAAACACCGCAATTGATGAGTCAAACATTGGTATCTGAAAATCAACAAAACATTTCCATTAAATAACGTTTACATACGAATAGTAAAATAATTATTTTGATAACTGCAATTGACTTTATAATTGAACGTAGCTAAAATACCTTCAGTAAACCGACAATAAATGAAATGGAAACGACAATGAAAATCATGGTTTGCACAAACCAGCTGGTCCAATGCAACCAAACGGGCATTCCCATGATTTTCATCACTTCTTTCAGCTGCTTCTCCCTCTCAACAGCGATGAATCTTACGGTGCTAATTATTGGATACACAAAACTTAGCATAATGAACAGCGCAACAGCTTTCTCCATTGCATCCAAAAGAACATCGTGCACGTATGGTGGATATGGGTATCGATGCATTTGAATGCTTGGCATAAATTTACAACTATTTTCAGTACATTTCATTGCCATTAAAGTTCTAGCAATGGCTTCTTGTATGGGCAAAAATCCTTCGGACAAATAATACGGAGCACCTCCTTCGTTCATTGATCCACCGCGTGGTCCACCGCCGGTATATATCTGCACCAGTAAATTGGTTTGCCAATTGAAAATTGTTGGACTGATTTGACTATTTGTGCGAGTTTCACTTGGAAAACGTAATGTATATACTAAATTCTGTGGAAGCTCCTTAATATTCTGTAAATTGACATATTTTCTCGATTATTTTCAGTTTTGTTTTCATTAAATGTAAAAATTAGCGAAAGCAAGTAAAAGAAGGTGTTTCAAAGAATATTACCGCTGAATGATTGAATACAACGCCGGCTAAAAACTCTCGTTCTATCATCACTTTTTCAACTTCCTCTGAACTGTTAACACCTTCGATTCCATCCAGCTTAAGCAATTTGACCACTTCACTCAGGAATCGTTCCAGAATTTTATTCTTTGGGTAATAAACTAATTTCCATTCTTTCAAATGAATGGCATGAGTTGCGTTGCTGCAAAAAAAATAGAGTCGAAAACCAATTAAATTCCGCCACAATCATTTTCATTCTCTCAAAACTCACTAACCGTAATGAAATTTCGTCAACACTGAACGCATTATAGGTTGAGTTTGCTGTGTTAATTTCCGGTGCTATTAAACTTCGTATAAACAGTAAATTTGCCGTAAAAAGTATGGGTATTACAATTTGGATGATCGTTTGTAGCTTATGTCGATATTGAAGAAGAAAATTTTTCCACATCAATAGACGGAATTTATCAAAGTTATCGACTGTTCGTCGAACACATTCCTGCTTCTGTATTCCATTTCGTGGCTCACTGTTGTTACTGTCGACCACATTGTATGAGTCTGAATTATCCGAAGTTGTGAACGCTCGACCGTTATCTATAAAATTATCAGAATCAATGTCAGTTCGGAACAAAGTACAATTTTTGTACAAAATCAATTGAAAAAAAAATCGAAACTTACTGGGAAATATTTTTCGTACTAGGCACGAAATCCAATGACACATATTGACAGTTATTCAAATGTATAAATATATAAAATAAATATTTTTGAATTAAGAACAACCAAAATGAAAACAAAAAGAACAATATTTGTGTCGTCATAAATAGTGCGTTGGATGACACACCAGCCGTTGTTTTGACGTTTTTCAATTAACTAAACCAGCACCAATATCCATTCATTTATAGCAGAACCAACCGCATGGCTCAACAAACCAAAACTGAAGAACTGTGAATTATTCGATTATTTTTATGGTGTCCATGAACGAGCAATTGTTGCCAGTGGTTCATTCAACGAAACACAGCTTATCAATTTCGGTGAAAACGATAAGTTATCGTTTGATAAGTCAGCTTTAATTTCAGTTTCCAGCTAAGCTTATCGATTTGATTAAAAACTGCGTTCAAATATTTCAGCCCAGGCTGCTTTGTTATCTAAATGCATTGTTGTAGACAAATCGACACTGCACTTTCACCACCTGATAACGCTAAAAGTGAAATCAAAACAATCAATTCGATTGAAAACATGCAGTATGCAGTAGTAAAACATGTGTGTTACACATCTCCTGCATATGATGCCTCCGAATGTCCAAAGTGGAATTGTGGATCAAGTGCATTGCAAAAAGTGTCACAGACTCTGAATATGTGACTCATATGTTTTGAGTTGTCAGATAATCTTGCATTAATTACTACGACACTATCTTATTGATGTCAAGCGTTTTATGCCAATGCAATTATCACTTAGTAGAAATGTAAACATTCTAAAATCACTCCATTTTAACTGTCTGTTTCTCTATCGAATCTGATTTCTTGATCTGAATACAAATTCTAATTTTTCAACTGAAACCATATCATTGTTACATTTTATGAGTGAGTCCCCCTCTTAATCGATTAATAACATTTCCACTCAGATAATATTGAGCATGTATTTTGCTTATCATTCCACACTTGAAACTCCAAATAGATTTGTTGTTGTTGTTCTTTACGATTTCAAGTTATTGCTTGATGATTCAAAGACGCTTCGATATGTCATGAAATATATTTGGCGATAGCCAATAAATGTGATCGAATCAGCGAAAATGTTTAAGTGCGACGGGTTCCATTTGTTCTTATCGTGTTTCGTTTTTATTTCCGTTAATATTGCTAGTATATGTTGTTGCTGTGGTCGCCGGACATTCGCTGTGTAAGCCGCGTTGTTTTGCACACATTGAACGCTTTTAGTCTATTATCTTTTCAATTACGTAGGCAGGGAATCAATGTAAACGAACGTGGATCAAACAGCGATGTCATGTGAAGCCATGATTGAGGAACATAAAAAGGCTGTCAAATAAACAAGCAAACAAACGATGCGGTGCTAACAGTGTGACAAACACATGCGGTGAAAGACTCGACGAGACAGATGGAAAAAGTGCGATGGAGAAAGACACTGACTTCACCAGCATTACATTGATATGAGCTGAAATGGAGTGAAAGAGACAGAGAGGGTGAGAGAGAAAAAAGTGGAGCAAAACCAACTATGCAATTCATTGAGCTTTCAAGTCCACAGCGAATTGCTCGAATAAATATTGAATTAGCGCTAGCCGAGCTTTGCCATTGTGCTCACACATTACCTAAGCAATGCATGTTCCATTTCCTCAATACGAACATTTCCTTGCTAATGGATTTTTTTTTTCTCCACTCTTGTTCGCTTTTGCAACGAGGACAACAGGACAACAATGAAATTAAATTTTATTACAGTTGGGATTTTCATTGCGAATTCAGTTCACTGGCATTTTCTTTTCACATGCAGACAGAGAGAGAGAGAGAGAGAGAAAGAGAGAAGGAGAAGAAAAAGCAGCCATTTCACGTTGCAATCTCAATCTCAACAAAAGAATCTCATTTTCGATGAAAATCTACAACGAAGTCGATTAAAGTACTTGGCTACACCCACAAATGGTTTGCGAAACACAAAAACACCACACAATCTGCACATTTGATATGGGTGAAAGAGAGAGATTGAAAAAAAGAATATCGTTGAATGAATAACACTTGGCGACGCATGTTACACTTAATTACTTGAAATCTCTAATTCCATTGGCAAAGGACGTTAAATGAATGCATTCATATCCAATTCGAATAGACGAGAATTTTATTTATTTTACCATTTTTATTTCATGTTTGCTCAAGAGTTTGTGCTTAAAAAAATGTGCATTTCAAACTTTTAACCCAAATACATGCTATAGAGACCGGCGTTCACAATTCGCAGCACTGATGTAGATGCTGCTCATAGTAAAATGACGCTCTTTTCCCTCAATCGTCAATCTGTTTTTCTATTTGCTGAACATTTTTCGTGTAGACATTAAAATCAAGGAAAACTTTGGCCGAAGTATAACAATTTCTTTCAAAATTTGAATCGGCTTTGATCTGATTGCTTTGTTAAGAATCATTATCAAACAATTTCACAATAGGCACAACATTTTTCACGAAGTATGACTCATTTCGATTGTTCAGCAAAGTTCAAGAGTAAATAAATTTATCAGAAAAAGAAAACAAAACAACTTCAAAAAGCGTATCTCTTTGATGAATTGATTTATGAACCACATGTTATTCAACAAATGGTTGTTCGTCGTTAAAATTGATTCAATCGTCTGCGAGACGCAGCTTCTAAGAAGTCAATTGATAAATCACAATTGTGTTCAAATAAAATGTGTGCTAAAATTAGGTGACGCGTAATTAAATCCGGTGAAAATGTTCGTAAATACCGAACTGGAGTTGATTGATTTGTGTAGTCTAAAATTGACGAAATAAAAACGTTCTTTCAAAGTGGCAAAAGACGGGAATAAATGCAAATATTTACCGAAAAAGGTGTATTGACAAAACAAACAGCGCTAGAGCAAGTGATTTGCATATATGCTGACAAGCAGTTGTTTATGTTAGAAAAAGCAGTGTTTTGCATTAAGAAAAAAAATTTGTGCACGATGACGAAATTCCCGTTCGTCTTATCGATTGTTTCAGTTGGTTTTTTGCTCAACGTAACCACTTAAGCACCTAAACATTGATTGCGTGACAAATAGAGCCGACCTCTCGACGGCTAGATTCTCCATCGCATACTCATACTTTACAATTCAATTATTTCGCCGATTTTTTCTTTCCTCCTCTTCGCTTCTTACTGCCAGCACTTTTTCGCGTTTACATTCATTTTGTTTACTTGAAAATGCGGCAAGGAAAAGAAAACCCTACATGGAATTGATTATTTGAATTGTACGGCATATTTTGGAATGCATTTACTTTGGCACATTGCTCTTTGATGCCGTCGAGAGAGTGCATGAGGCAGTGCGGTGCACTGCACAGTGCACAGTTGGTGTTTTTCTATTTCGATCCTTTCAACTTATGAAATTCACCAAATTCAAAAGAGTGCATAGAGTTCGGAAGGTTGGTTGCTTCGGTTTTGCCGGGCATTTTGCACAATTTGTGCATAAAAAACAGAAATACACAAAAAAAAGCAGATGGAAGCGGGTGAGCGTCGTCTTGTATGTGTTTGTGTTGTCGTTGTTGCTGCTGCTTTTTTTTCTCTCGTCTTCTCTCAAAATAAACATAAGAAAAACATGGTCTGAAAAATCGGTGAGCATTGGCAAATAGTGCAGTGCACAGGAAAGACAGCATGCATATGTTGCTGCATGCAATCATTAGCAATAAAAATGCATTGGCTTTCGATTTGAAAATCATTGGGAAAATGTATAGCATGAATAAGTTTGTGTGTATGGCAGGGCGCGCAAGATGCTTTTCTCTACTGACTCTCGCTCTCAGTCTCACTCTCTATTGATAATGATGGTATGTACTTTGCTAGATTGCCATTGCTGATAAGATGGTGTGAATTTTTATGTTGAAAACACCATCGAAACGGTGTGTATGCTTCTTACTTCTATTTTTACTGCCGCCGAATGAAAGGCGCATTCGAACGACAATTTTACTTGACTGCCGCTGCCGTTGTTTTTTTCTTCGGTGTATGCTGTGCATGTTTCGACAATGAAAATGAAAGGTTGAATGCATATCGAAACATATGCTAAATAACATAGATTTCCTGACTTATTCCTACATTTCTATAGACACTTCAAGCGACGAGAGAATAGACTGGTTTTCGCTTTTTTTTTTCTCTCTACTTTTCTTGTGCATGCTGATGATGGGCTTGGCGTTTTTTTCCCTTCCTTTTTTCGCAGTGCAACGAAATCCTTACACTGAAATGGAAATTTCACAAATGGAATATGTGCAACGATTTAATGAGTTTTTAGTTGTGTATAGCCGACTTATGATTTTAAATTGGCAATGCCATATGAATATGAAATCGAAATATTCGCCATTCATGCCGACAACTTTCATGAAAGCAAACGAACAAAAAAAAACTCACATTCCATATGAATTTTCGAAACGAAGAACATTTTCAAATTAGTTGAGATTTGGCTTTCTATGGCAAAGAATAGTTTCATTCATTGCACACCGGTGCAGAGCGCAGAGCGCATTGAAAACCTAAATACAAAAGGAGATCGGTCCAAATGCGTTTTTGCTTTCTGTCATTTTTATTTATTCAATCATTGTGCACATAATATGAACGAGCCGTGCATCGGCCAAATGCAAACAAATAAAAATGGCAAACTGCAAAGATGCCGCTGCGCGCTGATTTGCATGTGTTCTCCTCGTTTTTTTTGTCGTTGTTGTTGTCGCTCGGTGCGTACACACGACGACGACGACGGAAAAGGTATTTTTCGTTTGTCAGCGCGGTAAATTTAATTGTCTCTTTTATAGAAAACAAATGAAAGGCACTTTGAAACCTAATGATAATAAACATGCATTACAATAAGGTTGATCCTTTTTTTTCTTCCGAGCTGGTCGCGTTGTGAGCCAATTTCATCCGAAATGAAAGGAGAAAAAAACGCACACACACACACGAAACGAATGTGTCAACCGATGTTAACTAATGTTCTCTTCGTACAATGAACAAGAAAAAGATTTACGAGACGGTTACTTTTTTCTGTACTCGATTTTTATCCGACATTTGCTCTTATTTACTCGAACCATAGGTTCTGACACCAAAAAATTCAGGGGGGGTCAAGCCAAAAATTCAAGGGGGGGTCAAAAAAATCAATTCTATCTAGTGTAAATTTCTTCCCGAAAAAAATTGCTGACCGGGTGATCCGCAATTTCGAATTTGAAGAGCAAAAAAAAAAAAAGGTCCTCGCTCTCAAAAATCGATTCTATCTAGTGTAAAACCGGTATCCAGAAAAAAGTGAGGTCTAAAACAACAAAAAAGGTCCGAAAATGGCAACGGGTCCAAAAAAATCGTTGGGGGTCAAATTTTTCCAGGTGGGGTCAGGATCAACGAGATCTGACTATGTCAGAACCTATGACTCGAACCGCCTTTTTTTATGGCTATCGAATTCACACGAACAAACATTGTTGCATCATTAGGGAACGATACGGATTTGTCATTGATATGTGTGTGAGTGTGTGGTGCAGTTTGGAATTAAAACCGGTGGAAAAGGGCAACAAAAAAATATCATATAATATCACTCGGTGATACGATTTTTGCACCGCTGAACAGCCTCTCTTGATTGTATTGATAACAATCAATCGAAAGGGGATTTCGAAGCATATATTTCAGAGGCGCATTTCAAATTAAATGAAAAATCTTTCGGATTTATACCTTTCGAGACTTTTAATTACCCAACGCATTCTATTATTGTGAATTCATTTTCATTTTTTCGTGAGCAATCTCAACAGCAACAGCATTGTTCGCTTTCATGTTCATTATTTCGCAGCCACACACAACTCCAATATTATGTTTGACTCCTTTTTATCTCTTACTCTTTTTCCCTCTCCCGCTGGCACTAACGAATATTAATCTGGTTTTAATGAGAGAAAGTTTGGCTTTAAACAGACTCTATCGAATAGAAAGCTAATTTTGAAACAGTCACTGCTGTTGGCAAAATGTTCTGATGTTCTGACTCAGATCTCAAGCATCAACACCAACGCACCATCCTACTAATTTCATTATTCTATAAAATTTCACTGGTTCATATTCAACGAAACCAAATTTTCTTACTCGTCTCAACAAGTCAGATACATTTTGTAAGCCTTCTGGCAAGCGCAGAAATTAAATCGAGAATAAACCCATGAAAATGCACACTGAACATTGCTTTGATATCTTTTGCAAAACAAAAAAATCTTGATATATATACTATGTGGTTGGTATAATTTAGATTTGTGTTCGTACATGTGTCAAAACGATGCGATTTCAGTCGTAAAAAAACGTGTTCATATATTGTGCATACGTAAACACGCGCACATATCGCGAGCGCACACTCGGCCGGTATCACATTCTGCAATTTTATTTTCGGCTATATACAGATTTTGAAGTTAATATAACCGAGCTGACACTTGGTGTGTTGCAATTTTTGCATATATATGTAGGATTATCGCATGAACAAACCAAATGAAAAGAAGCCAATGTGGAAAAGATTTAGAGCGCATACCATGCAGCGAAACGTACATATATCTTTCGGTCTTCTGGCGTGACACTTCTTCAATTTGATTTTGTCAGGTATGTGATATACAATGCACTGAATGAATTCAGTCGGGTGTAGCGGTGCAAAACGGACCCAAACGAACACACGAATGAGTTGGAGCCAGAGACAGAAAATGAAGAAGAAGAAAAAACACACAAACACACACACAAAGTTGGGTACATTCTCGTAAAAATTTCGGACAGAGCTGTGTGTTGTTGTTATCGTCGGTTGGGCCGTTATTTTAGGCATCAAGTGTGATTTCATCGTTCGTTTGTTCATGATGTGCCTTATCGAAAATGGGTCTGTCAAATAAACGTTTCTTTGTTCTTTTTTTTTCTAGAATCACCATTTACCCTCTTCCGACCAAATTTCATGCACCAAAGTGGAACAATACAAAATTAGAACGCGTCTGCATGCTAACAATCCATATTGCTACATGAACACAGGCAGAATTTGGAAGAAAAAAAACGAAATTGATTTTACAAGATGGAATAGAAACAGTAACACTTTCATTTACATACAGCACGTATTTTCTCGAACACATTGCATATTTTTATCTGCTGAAATAAAATGTGTCGCATAGTGAGCGAGTTGAGTTCATGTATTGGCGTACATAAGCGTACATTCAATTTTTTTTCATATCTGCGGAACAGATTGAATCGCTGCTAGTCCTGGTGGTGCTGCTGCTCTTGTTGTCGTCATCGTCGTTGAAACACATCGGCAACGATGATGTGTCTCGGCAATCCTCGAACAAATAATGTACTCCGAAAATTGGTATTCTTTTCACAAAAGCGCATTTGGCATCGTGTCCCATTTGCCATTGCACTGAAATCGCACTTAGCATATTGATAAGGTTTCGCTCTTCTCATCTCGCAAATGCACTGCATATCCCATCGAATGAAATTGCAAAATCCGATGCAGTTATTAGTTGACGATTTGATCATTCGGGCTGTTGAACCTTAGCAGTTGGAGCAGCAGCATGCAAATTCACTCTATTTTGACTAATGTGATGTCGGGCAAATCCTTTACAACGTGCTTGAAAGTACGCTCTGGAATTATTCGTTTCCAGGTCAAGTGGTTGGATTCATCGATGATTTGCGATTACATTGCAATCGTCAAATTCCCAAGCATTATACGAACTTTCGAACTTTTCACTTGTACATCAAATTCACTTCAGCCCATTAAAATCGATGAGATTCTCTCTGTTTCTCCTGAAAAGAACATCTTTGACGAATCTTTTTCCACTGAAGCGAACATTCCTCAACTGAAAAGCACTATTTTAAATGAAAAAAATACATGAAAAACTAAAACAAAAAAATCTCATGGCAAAAAGAAGTAGAAAGAATCTCTTCACTTAAAAAACCAGTCCAAACAACAAGTACAGCATGAAAAACGAATCTCGGATTGCGACTTACAATTTACGAGTAAAATTGTGAACGGAAAAGTGTTCTAATTTGTTATGCTTAAGCATGCGACATAAAATTCGCTTTTAATGCAATTATTTTGCGTTGAGTTCATTTGGTGATGAAGTGAGTGTCTCATCTGACCAGTGTGTGTAGATAAAAGTAACATCGAGCAGGGAAAAAACAACGCATCTGGAACACGCTGAACAGCGACGAATAGCAGAAGAAAAAAGAACGTACTTGACTAGAATAAAAAAAAAATAAACAGAGTACGCAATTATTTCTGCGAAAACTTGAGCCAACTTTGGTGATTAATCTGTGATGCTAAGAAGCCAAAGTTTATGTTGAACAATGCAAACACAAGCGTAAACGCTAATCGAGTCGAGAGAGAGAGAGAGAGAGAGAGAGAGAGAGAGAGAGAGAGAGAGAGAGAGAGAGAGAGAGAGAAGCAACAACACGGAGAATGTGAGAAACGCATACTGTATGCGTTCGTCTTTGGTTCTCCTTTACATTGTTTAATTTCGTTCGTTCGTGGTACAGAGCAGCAGAAGCAGCAGCAACCGGTATTTGGCGTATATATCGGTATATGTGCATTTGGCCTGTTGAAAATGCAAATGCAATCACTGCATTCCGCGTTCGATGTAGACACGATTTTTAGTACGTGCGTTCAACAACAGCTTTTTGAATCGCGTTCAACTAATATATTACAAGTAATTCGATCGATTGTGGGCTGCAGAGTCTGCGCCAATGCGGCCGATATAATTCAGTGTCTGCACATCGTTGTTTGTTATCACTGATCTGATTTTAGCCTTAAATTAGCTTCTGATTCTCATTCTTCTGTTTGCCGTTGTCGTTGTCGTCGTTGTTGTTGTTGCTGTTTTTATCGCACACATGCATTTTCAGTGCATATTTTCAAGATTATTCCAACATATGCTACCAACCCGAACGATATCAATATCGTTGAGATGCACGATCGTATGCAAATATATTGCTTTTTCATCGCTTAGCTTCTTTCTCTCTCAACTTGTTCCTTCTTCGTTTTTTGCCGTCTTCGTTTTGCGTTTGCATGGATTTTATTCACTGCACTCGCACCCGCACGTTCATTTCTGAACTTGAAACAATGAAGAAGCGATATGTGAAATGTCTTTGTGCCGTGGCACAACAGGTAAAATATTTTTATGGCTCGTTGGTGACGACAACGCTTTTTGTTTCTGCTGTAATTTAGTTTTTTCTCTCCCATTCCGTTCGTGAAATTTATTGCGTGGATTCACATTTCAAAACGGCTGCCATTGATCAACGTTCAAACCAGAGCACATGGAATGAAACGGAATATTCGAAACTATTTTTCTTTCTTTCATTCTTTCTTCAAAGAGTCATCTTTGCCGTTTGAATTTATTTTCGCGAACATTTCAAATAAATTAGTTTAAGCGAAAGAGACCTTTTAACTAACTAATTTTCCCGTTTTTTTTCTCTCTCTCTCTTTTCATATGCAGTTCAGCACCGACGATCTAGCCTGTTTACAAAAATTGGATTGCTCCATTGTAAGTGTAATCTACTAAATGAACTCGTTTCTTTGAAAGGGCTCAACATTACAGTGTTTTGTAATGTTTTGTTTTTTTTTTTAATTTTAATTAATTCGACCTTCAGACGACATTCAATCTTTTCATTTCCATTACTTATTAAAATATAAAACATTTACCGAATTAAGCTTAATTGGTTTAGTTACATTTTCATGAATAAGTAACAAATTCCTCTTTATTTCAATCACTGCAGCAGCGAAGCAAAAAATCGGATTTGATTTTTAAAAAGCCGGTTATTCTCAAGCAGATTCTCTGAAGCAGATTCACAAAAGTCGATTTAGGCATGCGTTTTTTTTGGCATTGAATCCGATTTAAAAGCCAAGGCTCAACTGCAGAAGAAAAATGTATGATAGTCCCCTATGTGCAAATGGCTACTACAAGTAATTAATGAAATGTGCAAGAAACTGCTAATAAAAGTGGGGCAACATGAGCCAAAATGGCCCATCTCTTTTTTGAGCATCATAAAAAGATGCAATTTATTTAAAGTGTAGCGCTTTTTGTTCCATAATTTGTTGGGAAAATTATGAAAATACGTTTAGCTGAAGGAAAAAGGCAGTATTATCATTATGTTGAGATTGTTGGCCATAGCCCGTAGCCAAGTAATCCATTTCAGGTAAAACGAAATCTCCGAAAGCGCAACAAAGAATGTTTCCATTTAAAAATATAATGAAAGCGCTTTCTTTCTCCAGCTCTCCTGTCTATACGAAGAAAAACTGGGTTGTCCTTTCAAAAAAGAAAAGAAAATTCAAATCACTTAATGTACAAATTCGTGAGCTTATGCAAGTGCGGCCTTCATCTGCTTTTCTCTTCGAGTGCTCGCTGTATTTACAATTCACCTTTTGTACTCTCACTCAGTGTGCGCCAATAAACTGGGCTAAAATATTAAACGGGAGTTGTTAATCACGTCTTTTGAAATACACTTAAGTCGTTGTTAAAATGAAACGAGAAAATCCAGCAATTTAGTGTATAAAGATGTCTTAATTGTTTTCGTTTTCGTTGTTTGTGCCAAAAATCCATTTGTTTCAAAAAGTGTTTTCAAGCGCTCGACAAGCGAATGGGCAGAAAAAAAAATAAATAAGAAACTCTAGTTTCATCATTGAAGCTATTTTTGGGTCAGTATAATTAACGGTATTATGGTTGTATGGATGTTGAAAATTGTGCCATCACTTTATTTCGACCGGAGAAAAAAACCAAGAGAAAAATACACACTTTAAGCACATCGAGAGGATGTTTCTTGCTTTTGCTCCACATTTTTTCTCTCTTTTTTTCGTCTCTCGGAACATATGTTACCCTGATATCATGTCATTTTGATTGTTGCAGTAGCAGCAGCTCTTCCAAAAACAAATAAAACTATTTCCATTAGAGACATATGTAACATTTTCCTTGGCAATCGAACCAAACATCGCATAAGCAAAAGCATACAGGAAAAAAAACTATCGTACAGATTTTCTTTTCTTTTTTTGTGCACACAATTGGGAACTTGGTGTCTTTTATTCTTTTTTACGATGATCAGTGCTTGCTGCAGCAACGGAAGATGTGTCACATATTGGCAATTTGCGTCAAATTGCTACAACAAACTGAACATCGAAGTGAAATGAATTCACAAGTGTTTATGCGACTTTTTGTTGGCACTCGCACAAAAATCCAAACCAAACATATTCTCCAGTTTTACTATACGGTCGACCACTTTTTGCCATTGGTACAGACACATACACATGTACAGGAAACGATAATAATCGATGTGAATGTGCAAAAATTTCGACATTTTTCCATGTTATTTCGGTGATTGCCCACTGATCACACTGCAAAATGATGGCTTCGAGTGGGAATTGCTATGGAAACACATTTGCAATCATAAAAAATATTCTTTGCGTCAGAAGGTGACAGCCAATCAGCACAGGGACGTTGGAAAAATGCTACTTTAGTGGGAAACAATAAAGAAAATTTTCTTTTTGATAAGTGAAACTGTACAAAATTCATGAAAACACTCCATTTCCAGGTAGAAATGCTTACTTTTTCGTGTTTTTCTTCAAAAATGACTACTTTCAACAAATAAATGATTTCGTTTCCACCACATTCTGTTCAAAAATGTTCTTCTTCAATCAAAATCTTCATCAAATTTACATTTGTTATGAAAAAGTTTGTTTTCTTTGAAAAATTTGCGAATTGTTATTTTTGATCAAATATTTAATTTTGGAGCAAAAAGAAGGAATTTCTGGAAAATGTATAAGTCCTCGGACAATAATCGGTTTGTTGTAAGCCACATTTAAAATTGAAATGCATTTCATTGCATGCATCATGCGATTTTCCTCCTCATTCAGATTGATGGACGGGTGGTCAGACAAATCTCATGGAGAGTGTAATTATTTTCTATTGTTTATTTTACTGAATCCATGTGGTTGCCATTGCTCGAACACACGTTTTTAAATAGATTCAATGTTAGCTGCAGGTTCAATGTAAAATCAACATTTTTCTTCACATTCAATAAAACGTTTAAAAATAAGTCGAAACTAACATTGAAGAACTAGAATTCCAGCAGAGTAATTCTGTTCCTGGAAAGAAAGAAAAAACATTTATACCCCCAGTCGTAGATATTCCCAGTATCATTGAAGTTTTCCACAGTGTGATATTCCCATCTTAGTATATGCGAAGATAATTTTCGTGTCGACGAATATCAAAAATCATTCATTGAGTTCGAACAGTAAAACATCTTACGGCTGAAATGGTTTATCCAAACGAGTCCTCGGGCATGAACATTGTCCGAGCACAAGATTGTATGGATCCTGGTGGGTATATATTCGGTTTCGATGCCACAAACACACATAAAAGTATGGAAAATCTTTCGCTTGAATGGATAACACATGAATTAGGATCGGAATTTTGAGTGAATATGTTAATGAAATTCATTTTAATATTTCAGCACATTGAGAGTATTTCATGTGGAAAATTCGTTTGGATTTTCAAGTGTGTATTTAACTGATCCACAACTGCACGCACATATAAAAGCGCGCCGACCACATCCTACTTTCCATACACTGCTTCACTGCACAATTGATTGGTGTGGGTGCGAGTGTGAATCGAGTGTACAGGAAATTGGAAGCGGTGATGAAGTTCACCGTGGACTACGAATGATTATTATGCGAATTGAGCGCGAATAGTTCGTACAGTCCATGTGATTTTGAAATGATTACTCGTCTGTATGAAATAGCCTAAGCCATCGCTTTTTGATGGACTTGGTTAACATTTGCCGTCATCACCACTGCCGCCGATATATGCCACCGCGCGTCCATCGAACTGAAAAACTATTCATAGCCAATACGCTAAAATATATCAATGGCTAAGTCCATGCCATTTGTTTGTATCCATTGCGTTGGAATCCGTAGCGCATGCTCTGGACTTCAAATCATTTCTAGTTTTCGAGTGCTGACTGCATTCATAACATCGCATTATTCATTCGGACAAATGATGATGCTGTCGTTGCTCGTTCGTTCGTTGGCTCACTCACTCACTTACTTGCTCGCTCGCTCGCTTTTGGTATTTATTCAGCACTTTGCTATTCATAGCGCTATTAATGCTACTGTAACTGCAATTTTAAATGCAGCGCACGCTACACGAATATCCAAATCGGAATCGGAAACTCATATACATTTTTATATGATCACTTCGTTGAATAATTTTTTTCTCTCCTTTGCCATTTTTTTCCTCTCTCTCTCTCGCTCGCTGTCGTCATTTTGATCGGATGATTCGTTCTGTGTGTATGTGTGTGTGTTCGTTTTTTGCTCGTTGCATATTTTTCATACATCGAATCGCAAAGGCAAGCTTGAATCGAATGAATACGGAATTTGTATTTGGCAGAGCGAAAAAAAATTTATTGTTCAGTCGTGCAAATGAAAGGAAAACAAAGACATACACACACACACACACATACAGCGGAGGAAAACATTCCAGAACGCTCGCAATCATTCGCAACACAAACGATATGAATTACAAAATAAATTCAAAATAGGATAAAAAAAAACAAGAACCAAAATGAAATCGAGATAAAATTGTTGATTCAGCATAAAAATAAAGATTTATTACACCAATATCATTCTTGTTCGATTTGTCCTGCCAGTTTTTTTGATTCGCATTTCAAACGAATGCCAGTTTAAATAATTCCAAAAAGCGAACAGCAAGAAAAACCTGGCTTGTTACACACACACACACTCTCAATCTCTGACTCTCTCGCTCCGTTTTTCCCATCGACAACCTACATTAATTGCTGTTGCCGGTTCTTTTTTTCGCCATCCGCCAAGCTCGGCTCGCATTTCAAATGAGATGACCTGATTTAAAATTTATTGATTTGTGAACACTTCAAATAAAAATTTCAAATCGACTTATTATCGACGCCATTCAATCAAACAGCAATCGAGAAGAAAAAAACTGCCCAAGTTTTTGTACCAATCAAAATGAAATACAAAGAAAAAAATGTTTTCATTCTGTGTGATTTATGGAAAGTCAAAAGATGAAATCTCAATTATGCATTTTTCTTTGTTTGCAAAAGGTCGAGAAAAAATAAACGGCAGCTTCGAATATCAAATTCACATCATTAAACGAGGTCTACTTTTTTTTCGCTTCTTCATTCAAGCCATTTGTTAAGCTAAAGTCATTTTTAAACTAAAGATAGTTTGTTTTCTCTCGTGCTATTTCCACTCTTTTGACATGTAAATACATCATGTTCAATGCGAATAAGCCAACAGAGAACGGCAGAGACGGTGCCGTTTTGCAATCGATGACATGAACGGAATTGTGAATAGAAGAGCGTATCTCGTAATTTGTTTATAAAATATTCTAGTAGCACCAGCGACGAATAATAACATGCAAAACTGATAGGATCTTGTCCTTTGATGCCTGTTTCGCCTGAAGCCGCCAGTAAAGAGTCATTCATTTCCATTCTCTATCTCGCGCGCGCTTTCTCTCTCTCTCTCTCTCTCTCTCACTCTCGGCTCCTTGTAGCAGAAGCAGCAAGAAAAATGTGATATGATAATGTAATTTTCCGCGACAATGGTTTCAAATTCCTTTTTTTTCCTATCCACTCAGACGCTTAGCATTCACAACGAGTTTTACTTTCCATTTTTTGGATACTTTAATTCGGTGCGCAATTTTTTTTTTCTCTCTCCGCTCTCTTCTTCTAGTCTGCTTTTGGTTGCTGTCATTCTTTATATCAGTGCCAAAAATATTGGCACGAGCTCCCTTTTGTTATTGTATCAAAAGAAAAAAAAATGTAGTATTTGCAATGGGGACAGACAAACATAGTCTGCATTACTTTCATTCCATTCAAAGAGAGCGAAAAATAGACAGTTTCATATGCATTCAGTCATGATGCGACGCTAACTCAGCTTCCATTGCCACATTCGAAAGAAAAATATTCCAAGAATAAATTACAAATATATTTTTCGTTCACAACTTTATCGAGGTATAAAACGTTTAGAGCTCATTTCGTTCATAGAAATTCAAATAATTCCATACGAAGCAATAGACTTCATCGCAATAAACCAGCAACAGTAGACTTTAATCCAGTTCCTTGCCATTTTACAAAACATTCAACGTGGAAAATTGTGGCGCATAGTGCTCGGACCAAGCTGTTCGCCATGCATACTATTTAACATGAAATTGTTAATTTATCCACAAAATGATGATATATATTCGAAATTTTCTGAATAAAAATGATACATTAGAGACAATATGTATTCGAAAAAGCTGGCACCGAATGACATTTTTTCTGCATAAATCGCCTGTTGAAAACTGGCAGTTGACGTCGTCATTTCACATTGTTATTTAAACAATGAAACTGTATACTGCTTTCTTCTATCTCGGTCTTGTAGCTTCAAATTTAATGAAAATCCCACTTCAACCATGTCTAGCGCAAATTAAAACCGATTGAGCGCGAAAAATGTGAGCAAACCGCAAAATCTCTGAATGACGCTGAAAACTTTAACCATATAAAACTGTGTATCTTGTGGCGCTCTTCGGGGTTTGTTTGTGGAAAAATTGATCTTGAAAACCATAATGGCAGCACAATTTTGCCCATCAACATTTAATAGCAAAATGAATTTTGAAGCTGCGTTGTTACGCTCCCGAGTAAACTTTTTCCATGGTCGATGCTTTCAAAAGCAGAGGTCAATGTTTCGGCTTTAATGTCCGTTTGCAGCAGAATACCACGCGCGCACAATTCACTCTCTCTTGGGAGAATTCCAAAGGGAAATGCGCTGTCAGTGAGATGTTATATGCTTTGGCTTTTGACAGGCCAATAAATGATGAAGATAACAATCATAATAACAATAATCGCAAGTAGCCGGAGAAAGTGGCTTTTATTTTACGGCAGATTTGAATTTGAAATACAACATCATCAGCAAAAATGGTACTATGTACGCGTTTAGCTATGCAAAGCATATTTCATATGAAAAATTACGGGTAGCTACAATGTTTATGGCCAGCATGCGTGATATATGATTCGTTTTCCGTAAACACACATACGATACCATACGATACATACACGGTCCAAGCGATTGGGTTATGCGGAACAAGAGAAAACGAGATAGATAGATGGATGGATAGAAGATACAAACGCCAGATGATGTTGGTCGAAAAATGAGCGGATAGCAAACGGTTCCCTTTAAAATTTATAAGTTTGATGCTTCGCTCGAATTCAATTGCGATGGAAAATTTTATGTGGAAAATATGCAAAAATGGATATATCGTCGTCATTTATGCGTGTTGTAAGTGTATGTATGCGGGGGCCTCTTGAGTCTCTGGACCATTTAAATTCACATCGAATCAAGGCTTAAATTCTCTGTTTTTTTTTAGCCATGTTTTTTATATGGCCATTTCAAAACGCAAAACTGTGTATTTCAACGACACATTGAAGCAACCGAAATTTGCTCTCAGCTCGAACATAACATGTCTCTGTCGCTGTTTGTCTCGAGTCAGCACTGTATGCGATGAACGAAAGCAACAAACCGAGTAATAATCATAAAAAGAATAACAGCAATAACAGTAGACGCAAACCTTATGCGAAACAAATTATGACGAAAATTGGAAATGGAAGACCTTCTTCCAATGCAAGAACATATGCGAGATAAGACGGCTACCGTCATTATTTTTCCTTGATCCAACCGGGTATGAATGGTGGCCCACACTCTTCTCCCCCACAAACTTGCTCATTTTCAGACAGCACCAACGCATTTCCTTCGCTCTTTATTTTTTGTTTGAAGAAAATGCGTTTGCAGCACTTTGTTTTTGGCGCAAATTTTCGCTTTGAAGAAGTAGCAGCAGCAAAAAATGGGCATGATAAGAAGAAAAAGTGCTGAACTGCGGTCGGCAGCTTTGACTCAAGGTCAAATTTAATGGAACGTGCCATTTTTATTACGAAATGTACGGCACATTTTATAGGCACAGATGAAAGGATCTATATGAAAATCCACACTTTGACACATTTTCTAACGACACCTTCTGGGATACGCCAAATTAAAATCGAATTAGATTTTCGAACCGAAAAATGGAAATACACAACAGAGAAACACATTAGCTATGCGAATTTCTGTGAAATGTACATTTCGAATGCGAGAGACAAAAAAAGAGAGCGGAAAAAGGGCGATTTTATGCGTAATTCAATGAAATGCCATCACAATCCTTATCCCTCGTCGCAATCAGCACTTTTTATTTCACGCCAAGAAAAACAGCACGAAATAAAAATTATGACAACAATTTGCAGTAAACTAAAATAAATGTCATTACTAATGTTTGCTCCGATGTCTTGACATACTATTATCATATGCTCGCATTATGAATCTATCCACTTGCCATGGCGATGCTTTTTTTCGGTCCGATTGTTTTGTTTTTCGTGCACGTAACGTAAAATGTAAATTTACGCTACGACAATCCTGTTCTATCTGTAACAACATTCAAATACAAATTGTGCGTGTTTTTTACTCTTCACATGTTCCACACATGATATTGCTGGGTATTTAATTGGACACATTTTCTAAAAATATATATAAACAAATATATTGGAATATTGAAACATTCTCATTGAACAATGTTGTGATTATTTTAATGCCAAGAAATGAAAACATATTCAACACAATTGTAAGACATACTGCAAGGGGCAATTCACTAAAAAGTTGTATTACTTTTTTCACGTTGTATTACTTTTGATTGATTTGCCCTTGACATACTGTCTATATTTGTTTCAATATTAAAATGTATTGGTGATAAATACGAAAGGTGCGTTTTTTCACAAATAAAATGATAGTTTTCTGCACTGCAACGTGCGTCATTCCATTTGGAGTCCCAATTTTTCGACATAAATTCGATACAAGCTTCAGGCTCATTTGTTCCCCAATCATATTTATCCGGTTGTCCTGAGGCCCAGTTAGTAAATCCTAATGATTTGCCGGTACCCATCCAGTAATAGGCTCCATCATTACCCAGTTTTGTGCCTGATGTCCAAAAACGCTTGTCACTGTGGCCTATGAAAATAAAAATGTTAGTAGTAATCTTTCTACTGGACTCATTTAGAGAGTGTTACCTTCACTTTCAATGAGCTGTACGATTCGGTCATTTTCTTCCTTGGATGAAACACTAGCTAGAGTCATATCAAAGCTGCGACATTGAGCAAATGCTTTGAACCAATTGGTCTTGAATTGTCAATCATAAATATTTGTTAAAAATGATATACTTTATTTCATAATGCCGGTAAAACTAAAATACTCTGGGATATTTTTTATTCAGATAGGATAGAAATATCGCATAAAAATATCCGATAATTTTCAACTCTAGACATTGAACGTGATGAAGGTTGAACGCAACGCGAGGAAAATATCGAATATTTTTATGCGATATTTCTATCCCATCTGAATAAAAAATATCCCATTCTCTGGGCAAAACTCTTTCTTACCGGAGTCAATGTCATGAGATGGTAACTTTTTTGTTGACAAAACTGACCGTAGGCAGAAACTGAAATAATGCAAATAATTGAAACGATTCTTTCTCTAGTTCGAATATGGAAACCCATTTTGAGTTTGGCCGCTCATATTTCGATGAAAACAATCAAATAAAATCCGGTTTTATTCGGATTTCGTGCAATGGTCATTTTTTTTATTCTTACACTCTGTGTGAAATAAAAATAAAGAAAGACCCATAGCCTAAAAACCATATAAAACAAAGATTTGGTTTGATTGTTTTCTCTAGTTCTTTGAATCTTAATAGGATTATTAGAATAATTCATTTTCATCGAATAAATTTGCACATACCAAATATGAGGGGGAGAATGACACAAACTAAAATTAATTTCATTTTTATTTTAAGTGATTTCAACACAATTGCACAATTGGAAATGTTCTTTTGCCTACGAACCGAGATCCAAATTGAACGTGACTGTAAGAAGATCACACTTCGCCAAGCTTATATACACATCCATCCAGACGGAATTTGTGATACTCGAGATTAAAATTTGACATTTGATCTTTCATGCATATTTTGAAAAACAATTGATTTCCAAATTATTTTTGGGTAATATGCGGGAATTCCAGATTCAAGTGACGTTATCAACTTATCAATTTATTTGTTTTCGCACATGAAATTTTTGAATATGTCACAAGCATTCATTTACCCCGATTTCATGGAAATTATTCATATTCATCTTCTTTATTAAACATCAAGAGTGTTACAATATAACAGAGTGATAGCAATAACGATTAAAAGACAGTCCAATAAGTTCAGTCCCCAATGAAAGCTGAACGGATATGATGACGCCAGTGAGAGGTCAATTTATTCTTGTTCGCAAATAAAATGATATTGATGAATGTAAATCGAACCAAAACGAATAATTTTCTTATCATCCAACCAATTCGTCATATTTCATTTCGATTATTCTGATCCATATATCTTTGTTATTTTTGTTCAATGAACACATTAGACTGCGAATTTCTATGAAAGAGTGGAAAAACTTCTATTAAAAAGGGCGACGGTTTGTGTAATTCAATGTAATGCCATCACAATCCTTATCCCTCGTCGCCATCAGCACTTTTTATTTCACACTCGAAAAAAAAAACACAGCGCGAAATAAAAATTATGACAACAATTTGCAGTAAACTAAAATAAATGTCATTACTAATGTTTGCGTCGTCTCGATGCGGTGCATTGTGGATGTAGCTATTCTTTTCTGTCCGATTGTTTTTTTGTCCATGTTAACGTAAAATGTAAAATCCACATTCGCTATGGCAATCCTCTTTTATCTGTAACAACATGTAACAACAAATTGTAAGTTTTTTTCATTCCTCCCATGTTCTACATATAGAACTGCTATACACAACATTCTGAACTTTCTGTTCGTAGCTGCCTGAATTAGATATGACTTCTTTTCGGAAACATTAAAAGTGTGTCAAAGCCAACGTCATTTGAGTATAATTTTTGAACAAGGGGCAAATAGAGAGAAGAAATGACATCCATTATAAGATAATTGTATATTTGCCGCAATATTCATTTATACTTGTTATAACATTTTAATTAGCTCGAACAATATTCGTATTCAATTTGCTCTGGTTCACAAATAAAATGATACGCTGAACTGCAAAGAGCGTCATTCCACCTAGTGCCAACACTTGCTACTCCTTTCGGCCAAATTTCAAGACAAGCCTCTGGTTCGCCAATACCCCAATCATGATTGTCCGGTTGGTTTTCGGACCAGTTAATAAATCCCAATGATTTACCATTACCCATCCAGTAATAGACTTGATCGTTGCCCAATTTTGTGCCTGATGTCCAAAATGTTTTATCATTGTGATCTGAAAAAATGGTAAAAGTCTTAATACTGATTCTGCTACTGCATCATCATTTTTGCATCGTATTTGAATTCACAGCGTATTCTTTCTACAAGTGCTACCTTCGTTTTCAATTTGCTGTAAGATTCTATCGTTTTCCTCTTTCGATGAAATGCTAATTAAAGTCATGCCCAGGTGACGACAATGGGAAAAGGCTTTGTGCCAATTTGTCTTCGGAAAAAATGATTTAGTTAAAGTGTCAATCGCAAATATCTTTGAAAAATAATCGTCTTTTGACTCATTATCTTAAATTTTTTGCAACACTTTATCTTACCTCGCTCAATGTCATGAGATAATATTTTTTGATGATCTTTCGGTTGGTAAACTTGACCGTAGGTCGATGCTGAAATATTGTAAATCAAATTAAAAGCATAATTATTTTTTTTATATCTTCTTTCCGCCTTCAATATTCATCGGAAATTCCGATTTGGAATCCACACATACCAAACAGGAGTGAAAGAATCAGAGAGTAAAATAAGCGAAAATGAGTACTGCCCAAAATTTTGTTTTTACCATAAATCATATATATATGAATTTGTTTTATATTTCACTTAGTGCAAATCAATTCGAACGATGTTTTTACTCTCTTGTGTGTCAGTAGTACTCTCATCTTCCGTCCGTATGCGAACGGTGCAGTGCGACTGCTTCTTCTTCTTAACTAACACGTCTATACATGTAAGTCGCCATATTGGTTATAATGTTCACAAATGGCACGCAATACACTGTATACATTTTCAATACGGCCGCGCCCATTGTGTACGACAGTGTGAAGAAGAAGAAGCAGTATTATAAGAAACTGTGTATGGGTTTACATAGGGATGTCATCTTCCAACACATTTGACTGGTTAGCGAATATTGATGCCACTGAGGGCTGACTTTTGTCACTATTTGGCAAAACTACAGAAAATGAATAAAAATTGAATTTCACAACAACTTTGACATTCAACACGTTTTTCTTATGTCTTACTCAGTTGTCAGTAATTAGCGTGAATAGTGACAACTAGGTGCTCGCAGCGCACCGAATTTTCAAATTTGATTGTTTAGAATATTGAAAATGATTATAATTTGAATTTTTTTACTGTTGATATTGTTTAAAAAGGATGTTTTTGAACTGCCCAAAATCAATTTTAGAACTGCCCAGATGGCTTGACGACTGCCCAAAATGGGCACGACTGCCCGCTATTTTACTCTCTGGAAAGAATAACAGAAACCCAAGTCACTTTCATTTTTGCGTAGTTTGACATAAAGTTAACAGATTTCAACACTGTTTTTAGGTGCTCCTCGAGAGCCAAATTGAATGCAACTGCTTGAATCTTACACCATCACCAAGCTTGTGAGCATATAAGTAGATTATAATACCCGAGTCTCGAACTTGGCATTTGATCAATAAGAATTGGAATTAAAACAAATGAATTTTAATTTGATAACTCATACTTCCATCTGGGCTGTGCAATAATAACAAAATACGTCGGTCTGACGACAATGATTATGCACACTTTGTGTAGCATATCTGTCCAATTTTTATACATATGCAAGTGACTGCTATCGCAATAAAAAAAAATATAGGAGAACGATAAGAATGTAGTTCAAGTAAGAAAAGTTAAGAATTTTTTTCTCCTTGCAAAATTCCCAGTATAACCAAGCTTATATTACATTTAAGTGACCTTGTACCGTCGTATCATTTGTGCCCAGAACCAACTTGTACAAAAAAAAACAAGAGCAAATTTCTCCATATCAAGTCTACATCATAACAGTAGCGTTGATTTCCTGAATTTTTTTTTTCAAATATTTCTGATAATCTTATTATGATTGTCGTCCAACCATTTCCGTTAATTTCAATTTTATTTAATTTTCATTTCGATTACGTTCATTTACATATTTCTGTTATTGTTGTTCAATGAAAAGAAAAATATTACAATATTCTAGTATCCGGTTTATTTACAGTGTGACTTTCCGCCATATCAATTTCACAATTTCCCCGATGCGGTTAATCTGATGGTGAGTTTACACAGCTTGAAGCCGCATGAGAACGAAAGCAAACAAAGAAGTCAACCCATTTAACTTGCATGTTATTTTTTGTTCATTAAACTATCATTTTGTGCTTGAAGAATTAATTATAATTGCGATAACCGAAGAGATAACATGGAAACAGGACTTAAGCCGGATTAAAGCTCATTTTCGTATCATGCTTGTGTTCAAAGATATTGTTTGATTTCATTGTGTGTTAACCCATTTTCAGTAGAAAACGTACATCGAGCGTTATTTCCAATGCTTGCAATTATTACCAACGAATTTTTCGTGTTGTTGTTGGATGTTTCATTAAAATTGTTGCTTGTGTGTGCTGTCATTTTGCTTTTATCTCACATTGTTATGACTTGCTCGAAGTAAATATTTCATTTCCCTGTCATTTAATATGCGCACTGATGTCATCTATAAATAAAATGTATTTTTTACCCCATTTTCGTCATAATCATCATTGTTGTTGTTGCATGAGGATAATATTTTTTCTGTCAGGATCGCGTCAGAAAATTGCAATTTTTTATGTGTCATTCAGCAGAAATTTATTTGCGCGAATGAATTTCATGATTTTGCACTACATTAAGTTTACTTTTATCGAAATGTCACACATTTTTGCTGCACTCATCACAAAGTCATTATTACATTTTTTTTCGGTTCAAAATTTTTTCTCTCCACTGTGTGCATTTTACAGCCTTAAAATTATAAATTCGTTATTTTCTCATGCATGAAATTGCATTTTTTTTTTATCAAACCAATTTGAATTTAATAAAGACGAATGACGAAAAAAACAGGTAATTGCACAACGTATTATTATTAATTCAATATATTTTCTCTTGTGTCAAACAGTGTTGGAATAATTGTGCGCCACGTTCGGGGGCTGCTTCAGTGGTCGAGACTCAAAGTACTGAATTGGAAAAATCCGAAGCGTCCGATGTATTTGAACTATCCGTTCGATCGATGGTGCGAGATAAGTCGCTAACAATGGCCGATATCGCTTGGTATGCCAACGATCCAGCACAACATCAATGCCTGGTCACATGGGAGATTTTCGGTGGCGGTATCATGGGCAATCTACTCACCGACACACACGAAGCGGAACTATCACTTTGGCCCGACTCGAAGTATCACATTCAAGTGACGTGCAAAAATAAGGTAAAAGGAAAATTATGCCATTAATTGAAAATTAAAAAGAAATAAAACTTTTTGTTCGTAATTACAAAGAAAAAATGAACGAACAAACTTGATTAAGTTTAATTGAATTTTAATCAGTTCAATTTGCGCATGAAAATCATCGACTATTCGATGGAATGGCAATTGTTAATTCAACTGTAATAATTACTCGCGAAGCGTTCGAATCAATCGATTTTCATTGTGAAAATCTCGCTGCAATCGCATAAGGATTTCCGCGACTTTTTGCACATCGTTTCCATGTTCGGTATCGATTTCACCCAGTGATTTTCCCCGTGTATTGCGTGTGACTCGACATTACACACGGGCTCGATTTGATCGCATGCCATTTATGACCGTATTGAAAAATGCACTGAACGATAATGTAAAGCTGCTTTCTTTGCTCGGGCTTATGAGAATGAACATTAAGTTATTAAATGTAATTAACTCGAAACATTGTACGGAACGTAATGAAAAGTCCCGTTGAAAAGAGCCGGTGTTGACACGTCGTTGTGTCGAACGAACGGTTCAAACACACACACACACACACACACAAACTATGTTCAGCGTTTTGACTGTGGCTTTTTGAATTTTTTAAATCACACCATTTCCATGTACTGTTCAAATTGTGCTTCTGACCATTGAGATCCATGTGAAATATTTAACAAGCGCTGTTGAGCTATGCATTAGTTCTCTCTACTCTCTCTCTCTCGCTCTCGCTCTCCCTCTCTCTCTCTCTCTCTCTCTCTCTGTCCTTTCGAAAGTTGAACCAGAGAAGAAAGAATAATAGAGAGGAAAAGAGAAAAAAGAAACTTAGTCACCGATTTCAAAATGGATGTGTTCGTTTAAGTTTCACACTTTCCGTGATAAGTGCAATCCGTGACTTGGTGATTTCTTAGCGGCCCGATAATCACACCACGGGCTATGTAATATCGATTACGTGTTAAAGGTTCTCTGGTTCGAGCGTCGTCGAAAAGTAGCTTTTGAAATATACATCTAATAAACTTTTCCAACGTAATGACTTAATTTAGTTTTCATGTTTCATTGACAAAAGCAATGGCTGATGAAAAATAAACGCCCCTTGTTGTTCCCTCGACATTCAACAAAAAACGAATGTTTGAATGAACAAAGGAGCACAAAAAAATATTCAAATTATTATTTACTACATTTCTGTCACATGCGACCACATGATAAGAACCATATTTTCCCAAGCAATTTTATCGAGCTCATTCACTAGACCATATTAATCGTATGTATGATTTATATTACAACTGTATTTGTGATATACACTCACTCGGAGCAATTAGGTGTTCTTTGTTCAGTTGTAATTTTTAATGAGTTTCCCGATAGCGATCAAAAGTGTACAATACTAATAACGCCTATATTTTGCATTCACCGGCAGCCACCTTTAACAATCGCAAATTGGCGACTTGTAGGAGGGGCGAAGGCAAAATATTTGGTCTTTTTCTAAACAAAATTGGCAAAAATAAATCGAATGAGAAGAAAACACCGTCATTTCTAGTTTGCTGAAGTGAAACTTTGCTTTTGCTTCCGGTTTCGGTATAAATTACTAATTCATAGCGTTCTACGACGGCAGAAGCCGGAAGTTAAAAGTGGCAATCAAATTGTCGAGCAAAATATACGGGCATGTATAACGCTAACCAGACTGCTTTAGCATTTGCGTTTAGAAAGCAATGGATGAAAGCTTTTGGATGTGTGTGGATTCATATTTTTGTTGCTAAAAGTTTTCTTTTCATATTTATAATTAATAAAATTCATCAAAATCCATTGGAATAATTTGAGATAAATGGTAGACATCGAAATGCGGGAGTTCAGAAATTATTAACATGTTGTTTTTTGATTGTTGTTTTTTACTCATAGAGAAGTAAAAGTAAATAGTTCAGATATCAATTAAAAAAGCTGGCAACTAACCTAATTTTCAACTTGATATTCATTTTCTCTTTTTCTCCGTTTCATTTTCCTTTGCGGTGCAGAACACCAGCAAGATGTCAAAATCGCTACCAATTCTGATCGACACCACAACGGCATTAACGAAAGCCGCAATAACAACGACAACAACGACGACAAAGTCCTCATTGGAATCTGAATCGAGTGGAAGACCTGAGGCGGTGATACCATCTAACAATGATGATGCAAGTGAAGAAAAGGGCAACAACGATAGAGCGGAAAGACCACCACCATCATTATTACAACCGCACTCAAAGCTGGCAACGACAAAAACTGCTGCACCAACACCATTGACGCCAACAGCTCAAGCAACCGATGATGTTGATGATAATAATCATGGCCATCGTGAGTATGACGAGACAGAAGCAATTGTCAGCATCACACGACATCGCAACTACCAGAAGCAACATGAATATAATAATGATTATCAAATAACCGCAAAACCCTTGTACAATGCACATCAAACTAGTATGCACAACGGCGACGATGGTGTCGTTGAGAAAGCCGGCAAAAATGACAACAACAACGTCAACGAGAAGGAAAATCGTGTGCATGGCACTTTAACCACATCTCGAGATGCTGCCAAACTATCGAAAACGTCGCCATCCACCGCCAAAATCACGCACAATGACATCGAAACCGTGCTATCGCTGGTGTGTGTGTTTGTACTGGTTGTGACTCTAGTCATTTGTACGATAGTTTCGGTGCGGCAACGTATCAAATCAAATAAGAAGCATTGTGATAAAACCAATTTGATAAGCAGTAGTGCCAGTAGTAGCAGCACCACCAGCATTAATGACTGTGAAATGGATTTTAATGGTTCAACCACATCAATAGCTTATGCACAAATGACGGCTATACATGTTTAGAGTGCACACAAATACACACACACACACATGCACGCACATTCTCCCCCCAGTTCATTCAATTTCGATTAATCTATCCACATACTTGGCGGTCCGCTCCAGCCGAATCACTTACTGATCCGCTTATGGAATCACGCTGAAAATGTGCGCCGCCACAAACCACCACCATCAAAGTGGCGATAACGGTTTCAATTCAAATTCACTCGCTTTTGATATCAACAGAGAACAATCAAATCCATTTCACAATACACTGGCTGGTGCACTCGGCGATTGTGACGTCATCTCAACTACTTGGAGTTGCTTTTCTTGAAGTAGCTACACACAGAGAGAGCGAATGGAGGCGAGTAAAATTCTAAATACAAGAAGAGAAGTTATAAAATGTAAATAGGTTAGCCATTATCACTGTAGAAGTAAATCAATACAAACCGAAAATGCAAAGCAAAACACAACATGTTGACACTAAATTGTACATAACAGAAAATTCATAATCAAAACTGCAACGATATAAGGATTGATTCAGTGCGTAGTGCGTAAGTTTTTAAAACAAAACAAAGGATAACCTATATAAATATCGATAGCAATCTTAAAAAATAATTTAATCGAATAGCAGTTTTGATCAAACAGAAAATCTATTATTTATTTGACATGCTTTATTTATTCCCATGAAGAAAATCGAAAAAAAAAAATTCCAATTTTCAGTTTCAAATCGATTAAAAAACGAACAAAAACTTTATATGTATAACTGTGAACACTTGGCTTTTATTTCACTATTTGTTTCAGCTTTCCTTTTTAATTAAATCATTTACAGCGATGGTGATGGTGTTCAAGTTGTTCGGAGTGGACTGCGAGCACATAAAACTTGACCGAAACAAACATCCCATCTGAATCAAGTTGAGTTTAATGCAATTCGCTTCTTTTTTCTTGCTTTTTTCGACATGTTGAAAGTTTTTCGGTCCAACTGCTGTGCAAAACTTTGTCTCCACTCCTAATGTCACCATCTGTACAGTCGGACAAAATGTCCTGTGTTTGTGTGCTTGTGCACTCTGAATACCAAATCCGCTTCATTTCAAATCGTTACCAGATGAACGTGTAACACATTCTCATTAGTTGCCTCTCCCTTCGTGCACCACTCTGTCCACTATCAAACGAAGAAAAAACGATTATTGTAATTTTTCTAATGGTTGCCAACGTAGAAAAAGGCATTAGTTTCGTTACGGTTTGCATCGTTTTGGAATAAAAGTTGCGATATTCCCGAGTTTCATCCCTTTGTACGGACAAACGACCAGAGGAAAAACTTTCTTTTTTCCACCCCAACAATAGTTTTTACGTTTTGCAGAAGTGCCTTTGTCTCTCGATTTGTATCTTTTTATCGTTTCGTTTGCCCGGGTTTATTTTATATGCCGGACAGTGCATTTTGTTGTGACGATGAGCTTGACACAATGAGGGTAAGTTGGTATATGAGTGTGTGTGTGTGCGTTCCCAAAGGAATGAATCCGAATATGAACATCCTTTCCGAGAAGATAGCATCGAAGAAAAAGAGAAAGTTTTGGGCCGAGAAAATGCTTGAAATTGTTCGGTGCATGCAGAAAAATCAGAAACTGTGGAATTTCATGGGTAGGTAAATGTTGTTTTTTTGCAATTTTCTTTTCTAAAATGGAATGACTTCTGCCCATGCATAAGGAATACTGTACTAGCTGCTCCTTAGCCGTGTCTCCGTTACAGTTGCCGCGTCACAAAACTTCACAACGACTTTTGTCAAATCCCAAAATTGATGTTTAATTCATGGCCTGTGTCACTTCAATTCATTTAAATGGCAAGCAGTTTGTTCCTTTTTTTTGCTCGTCGCAAATGGAAACTTCAACCATTTCATCGTAATGAAGAACAAGGAAAGCAAACACTTTCAATCGAGAAGGAAATGATGGAGACAACATTCTCAAGAATTCATAAAATTGAACTTTACAAGTGTCTCGCCCATCGGTGGTGTTGGTGGTCGTCTAACATATATGCAGAAAAAAAATAATGCCAGACACATATTCTCGTTGGTAACAGACTGTTTTTCATTCGTTAACTTTGCAACCGAATTTATTTGACTGCGCTTTTACTTGAACATACCAAATTAAACAGATTGTGATTTAAATGCGATGAATTTTTTTTTCTACTGTTGTTTACTTTGCATCACAAGTGCAGAAGCTTATGAAAACTGTCGAGGTTTTTTCTTTGCCGGTCAGTAAAGGACACTTTGGTTCGAAGAACTTTCATTTGCAAAAAATTTGTAAGTATAATTCACCTTCACGTAATGATATCGCTTGAAGTATGTTTCATTTCGAAAATGACTTTTGCTTGAAAAATGTGCATTCTTGTAATGCTAACTATCTACGTCATCGCCCATAATCGCATCCACTTAACCATTCACTTCAACTGATTCGGCAAATTCAATTCCGAAAACTTTTCCACCAACTCATCCTCACAAATCAAAAAACTAGCGTCGAATTTAAGAAAGTGAGGGAAAAACAACACATTTTTGTGGCATATTTTTCTACTTCAAAGTTGATGCAAAAATTCAACTGTTTTCAAAGTGTTTATACAATATTATTTATTTTTTTTCGGGTTGCGGTTCGGCATTCACCACTTGCCACATACTGCATTGCACTCACATTTATTTTATGAAATTGTGAAAGTTTTGCATGATATTTTATTTATTTTGGTTTTTATAATATTGCTTGTTGTTCTTTCTTCTCTCTCTCGTCCGTCTGTATTAGTCAGTCTGTCGTTGAAATGATGATTGCATTTGCTTGATTTAATTGAATTCATGAGGAAAAAAATGAAAGAAAAACGAAATGTGCTCTCTTCAAAATGTTACCTTTTGAATCAACGACCGGGCGAATCCAATGAATGGAATCGTTAGTTAAATTTCGGCCCAACACTGTTTCGGCGAACAGACGTTTCGAGGTAGAAAAAGTCATACATTAAAAATATTATTTGCAATTTCCGTGCTTTTTGTTTGAATAGTTGCTCTTTTTACAGAAAGGAAATGGCCCAAAGCCATAGCTACAATGTAAGTAAAAAAAAGAAAAAAAAACCCAAACGCTAACAATCACACACAAAATAATAATCGAATAATTTTTCTGTGAATCAATTAAAGATATGTTGAAAATAACATTCAGCATGAAATGTAGAACAATGCACGTTTACACCTGTTCTCGGTTCTTTTGTATGAATGGTTTCGAAAAACGCATGCAGCAGAAGCAGCAAGAAAAAGTGCGTTTTTATGCCGCAATTTTTCACTGTAATTACCTGTCCGAATGGAACCTATGTGGCCAAATATTCCGCAACAGATGAAATGTAGCAAAAATCTGACAAAACAAATAAACTTCTCCATCGAATTTGGTGGAAACGAATCTAGCTGCACTGCACTAAAATGCACAGAAACGAAAACCAACATACAATAGCAACGAACGAGAAGCAAAAGCAAAGATAGAGAGAAGTCGACAAGATTCACAGATTGAGACGATTTACTCGGTTATTTCTTGCGCTAGCAAAAAAAACCGAAAAGATTGTTTCGTTCCATTTCTTGTGTACCATTTAATGGGTATTTTTGCAAGTTTCGAGTGAAGATTATGCATATTTGGTCACCTGTTGTCGTACTTTCGATCGGCACCCAGCCACGAACAACAACAGAGAAACTGAAAAGCAGAGATAGAGTGCAGTACAAAAAAAAACAAACAAAGACCTGTTTACGTTTATTATAATGTACCATTATTTATTTGATTATTTACATATCGTTAAAACATAAAATGGTGCATTGAACATGCGATGCGAAAATAAATTGCCATCGATGAGTCTAGTTGGCCGCATTTAGTCTTCTTTATTTTTCGAGAGTAAATATTGCAAATTAGAGAGATCGAGAGGGAGAATAGTGGTAGGCTATTAAAAACAGTGGAATCTATGCAATGAGATCAGAGTTGTTGTTCACTTACAATAAATGATAATGAAAAATGTGCCAAGATTTACGGCTTCTAATTCAATTTGATGAAAAAACTGTGAAAAAAAATAAGCGGAGATTTCATGTTATTAGAATATTCCCGGCTTTGTATATCGACCTTCCGATGGCCGACGAAAAGATTAACTCTTTACTCGATTATGCAAAGTATCCGTGGAAAAATATTCAAATAGATTTTCTCGCTGTCGCGGCCGTTGCTGTTGTTGTTGTTGTTGTTGTTATCGGTGTTTTTTGTTGTTGTTCGCCGAACTCTGAATCCTTAATGCGAGAAAATCATTATTCAGTAAATTGCAGAAAGTTGTAATTAAAATTGAGAACGCGAACGGGAAAAAAATACGCTCGACGCAACCGGTAATTTTGAATATATATTTTATGATGACCGTAATTAGCATCGACTTCGATAATGATGAATGATGATGATTAAGCGTAATTAGATGGAACAAGCGTTCGGGCTCTTTCTCTCTCTCTCATCGTGTGATGTATATGCGCTGTAAGACCAGTGGCACTGCAAGCATTTTCCATCAAATTACTCCATTATCATGATTCCCACCGTGTGCTATCATTGCAGTGAAAAAGAATATGCATTTTCGCATGCAAAATATGTGACATTCATAATTATGTAAATTCGTTCCTTTTCCTCCTCTGTCTTTCTCTCTATCTACCGGTTTGTTTGCTGATGATACTTTTCTCTCAGCAAGAACTTTGATTGCCGAAAATGAATGTCAACAGATACAATTTAAGTGGCATAATTAATTTAATGATATCATAAATTTTCCGTATTCGGAAACTGCACTGAAATTGTGCGCTCATTTTTCTGGTGGGATCTTCTTTTTTTTTATCGCATCAAGTGTATATAAATCATATGGCACACCAACTCAAGTTAATTTCAACAAATTAAGAATCGGATGTTTTTCACGCCAAAAAATTAACGCACTATAACTGAGAGTAATTGAGTGAGTAGTTTTTCAATTGAAACAAATAACAAACGAAACACTCGGCGAGTAACCAGTAAGAAGATCCATGTTCAATTTGCTTGCATAGGGAGTTCGTCTACGTTGGTTTCGTTGCTCCGTTTTCGTTACATGGAATACTCCGTAAGAGATATAATGAGTATGAATTATACGCGCTCTAGCGTTTACCTGCCACGGTGCTAATAACAATAAATAATGCCAACAATTATCATTGCACAAAACGAACGCGACTAACATGTAATTTACCATAAATACCGATACGCGAAACGAACGAGCGATGCAACAACAGCAACAGCGGCAGCAGCAGAAGTGACTGTGGCTGCAACAGAAGAGTCTATTTGCTGTGTGGATGTGTTTCGAAAGCAAACGTTTTGTTACCTGTGGCTCAGTGAATATGAAAACGATGACTTCCAACCGTTGAATTCGAATCGCGACAGCGACCCAAACCGAATAAAGAATGCACCAAATACATATTTTATGTGCAACTACTTCATGGTCTTGTGTACCTGGTATCTCATTGCATTGCGCGATTATTTGCAAACGAACGAACGATGCAACTACGACGACGATGGCACCAACGCTGCAGAACTCATAAAAAATTATGAACCAAACACAATGGGACTTATTTTACCGGGGTCCAAACAGGCGAACCTATCGATGACAGCCACTACACAAAGCACACATCAACCCAAATAACATGCATTAATAAATAAAATAATTGCATAACTTCCGTCGAAATGGTGCTGCATTTTCGAAAATTTATGACATTTCGAGGAGA